CTAATTATTGCATAGAAACCATGGGTTGATGGTTTAAATGCTTGTTTTGAACAGCTGCACAACATTTTCATGACATGGCCTGTTCAGTTTGGGGTCTGCTGTGAATTTTGAGGTATTTAGAGATTATGTTGATTACCACAAAATTCACAAATATGATCATATTGAATAAAATTTTGAAAATAATTCTAGTAACTGGTGTCAGTCCAAATCACACCATTGTTCATGTTTTAAAAACCTCATAACCCGCAGTTATTTAAAGAGCTCTCTTTAGATTCGTAGGATTATTCAGAAGCGTACATACACATCCACCACCTATTCATTCAATTGAGTTATTCAGTGAATGCTACATCCTTAGCATCCACTAAAAATCACACCTTAAGGAAATCACGATTGCTAATCAGGGACTCCTTATTGTATTATTAGATTGCTTTTTTCCCTTTTTAAGAAGCATTTCTTAAAGGCTTTATCGCTATCTTGTTTTTATAATAATTTCCTAGCCAAAATCCAATTTTAAAACAGGGGAAAAGGCAATGAAAGCTAAACATTTTGAGTAAATTAGCTGTTTATGTTTATTATATGGGTGCTATTATCGTTGCACATCACTGATTTCCCAATTTCCTCATTCAGTGCTGTTTACTTAGCCCTAAGCCTCTCATTTCACCTCGCTGACAATGCTTCAGTGTAATGCAATAAATATATGCATAAAAAGAGGGTTTATTTACAAATATGAGGGGAGGAAAGTACAATTTTTATCTTAAGATTTGTACAATGACAGATGAGCCAAGTGAACAACACTGTCACAATATTCCTAAACCAGAAGAGACACATTAATGGGTGAACTATGAACTGGTTTTGCATTTTAACAAAAATGAGAGTAATCTTAACGCAAGAATGCTGTCGGAGCTTTGAATTTATTTATTTATTTATTTTTGGTTTGGTGGGTGGGGGTCTCGGGCCTTTTAAGATCAAGCCTTGAAGCACTTTATGCTAAGTTAATTTACCCAAATATATCCACACCAGAGCGCACAACATCAACAACGCTGTTAATAGAAACTTGCTGATCCATAACACTTTTAGAGTTAGATGTTCACTGGGGGCAGTGCAATATTTACCTTAATATCAGTGATCGATCAGAGGGTTTGCAAGCCGGCATAAGGCGTTTAATTATAATTGCATCAGGATAGGTGTTGTAGTGGCAGCAGGATTTGAATAAGGTCACATCTCCGGCTAACCTTGCAAGTGTAATGCTATATTAAATGCCACTCATGTTAAGTGTGTTGAAACCTTTCTGATGCAGTCATTCCGTAATATAAAGGTTAAATTGAAAAATGTCCCCTCCTGAGCACAAAGCAAGCCATGATTGATACACCTTTGAAGGAAAATAAATGTTAACAGGCTTCCGCTCTAAACTCCCAGCTTTATGAGTGATATGTATTCTAATAGAGTGTTTGGATCACATTTAGTCAGACCTTATATAAATGGAAAAGGTCAGTCAGAGAGATTAAAACCTCATAACCCGCAGTTATTTAAAGAGCTCTCTTTAGATTCGTAGGATTATTCAGAAGCGTACATACACATCCACCACCTATTCATTCAATTGAGTTATTCAGTGAATGCTACATCCTTAGCATCCACTAAAAATCACACCTTAAGGAAATCACGATTGCTAATCAGGGACTCCTTATTGTATTATTAGATTGCTTTTTTCCCTTTTTAAGAAGCATTTCTTAAAGGCTTTATCGCTATCTTGTTTTTATAATAATTTCCTAGCCAAAATCCAATTTTAAAACAGGGGAAAAGGCAATGAAAGCTAAACATTTTGAGTAAATTAGCTGTTTATGTTTATTATATGGGTGCTATTATCGTTGCACATCACTGATTTCCCAATTTCCTCATTCAGTGCTGTTTACTTAGCCCTAAGCCTCTCATTTCACCTTGCTGACAATGCTTCAGTATAACGCAATACATATATGCACAAAACGAGGGTTCATTTACAAATATGAGGGGAGAAACTACAATTTTTAGCTTAAGATTTGTACAACAACAGACAAACCAAGCGAACAAACACTGTCACAATATTCTTAAACCAGAAGAGACACATAAACTATAAACTGGTTTTGCAGATGAACAAAAATGAGCTTTTACTCCGTAAACTAAGACTAATCCTAACACCATAGCAGGGTAAAAGAATGCTCTCGGAGCTTTGAATTTTTTGGGGCAGAATCTCGGGCCTTTTCAAATCAAGCCTTGAAGCACTTTATGCTAAGTTAATTTACCCAAATATATCCACACCAGAGCGCACAACATCAACAACGCTGTTAATAGAAACTTGCTGATCCATAACACTTTTAGAGTTAGATGTTCACTGGGGGCAGTGCAATATTTACCTTAATATCAGTGATCGATCAGAGGGTTTGCAAGCCGGCATAAGGCGTTTAATTATAATTGCATCAGGATAGGTGTTGTAGTGGCAGCAGGATTTGAATAAGGTCACATCTCCGGCTAACCTTGCAAGTGTAATGCTATATTAAATGCCACTCATGTTAAGTGTGTTGAAACCTTTCTGATGCAGTCACTCCGTAATATAAAGGTTAAATTGAAAAATGTCCCCTCCTGAGCACAAAGCAAGCCATGATTGATACACCTTTGAAGGAAAATAAATGTTAACAGGCTTCCGCTCTAAACTCCCAGCTTTATGAGTGATATGTATTCTAATAGAGTGTTTGGATCACATTTAGTCAGACCTTATATAAATGGAAAAGGTCAGTCAGAGAGATTAGGGAGATTTGGAGAAGGTTAGACTGCGCTTGTCTGACAGTTTGCTAATATTCAGTTATGTCTATTCAAATATGCCAAAGCATTTCTATATCATTAATATGAATTTTCTTGATGTGTGTGTAATGGACTTCTTACTTTGTATACACAAGAGAAGTTACGTATATGTGGGAAATTAATAAAACTAAGCACTCTTGTTTTCATTCTTTATGATAAATCATAAATACTTTGCGTAATTAGAACATTACTGAAACTGGCTGCAGTTCAGAGTGTCAATTTATTTATAAACTGGTTTGGTTCAATGAGTGCTTCATTTTAGTTAGCAGTTCACTAGTGTCAGTGTTTAATGTCAGAATATCTAATCTGTTATAGAATATTTGGAAGATTAGAACATATAGAGAATATTTTCTCAAATCCTGAATGTTGTAGATGGGGGAAGAAAGAGTCTTTAAGCAATATTTTCAATGATTACTGCTTTATTGCCTTATATTGGCACTCAAACAATATGTCATAGATTCTAGCATTGCTTTCTCTTATAAACAAATGTACAAATTTAACAGATATTGTGATTATTGTTTCATATACTACTTGGTCACTAAGCTTGTTTGATTTTGACTAAAAACTAATGATCAAACTAAGGGCTATTATATATTGTGATCAATATAGCAGAATAGCACATCTCACTCTTCCCTTAAAAAAACTGTGATTCTGAAATCATGTTTGTCTGAAGTTTAAAGATACTTTCAAATAAACAGAGATTCCTGAACGAAATGACAAAAACACCCCGGGGAGGGCTTTAGAGACGGAGAGCTCTGGTTTTTGCCCGGGGGAGCATATGCTCAGTCTATCAGTGATTGATACGGATCACAGACTGTCAAGGGCCAATGATACACATTATAAACAACATATGTAAACAATAGAGTTGTGCAGTAAGCAGGGAATGCTGATTACACCAACCCCATAGCTATGTTAGCGCATTTGTTTGCAAACACTTCACTAACTGCAACACCAACACACCTCAAGTGAACATGAGATCTGCAGTTTTTAGTTTTTGCTTTAAAGGGGCGGAATGAAAAATGTGAGTAATGTTTGGGTCACCCTTTACAATAAGGTCCCATTAGTTAATGCATTAGCTAATATTACTGATAACAAGCAATACATTTATTATAGCATTTATCAATCTTTGTTAAAGTTAGTTATGTTCATGTGAACTCAGGTCCATTAAATGTGAACAGATACAACTTTTGATTTTATTAATGCATTAGTAAATGTTATAGTTCTTTTCTTCTTTTGTTAATGTTAACAAATGGAGACTTATTGTAAAGTATTTCCTACAGTATGTTTGACATTAAAAGTATGACTGATTTCATCAAAATCAACTGTCTACCCTAGTGAAAAATAAATATACTAAAACGTATTTGAAATACATTTATTTCATGCTAAGTATACTACAAATACATTTACATATTTATGTGCTTAATAAAAACACCCAGCAATTGTACTTTTGGTATACTGGTATACTTAAAGTCTGATCAATTGGAACAACTAATTTTGTACTTTATGCACTTTAATTGTGCGGAAGTAGTGCTGAAGTCCAACTAAAAATATACTGAGGTATATTTGATTGTGATAAAGTGGAACTATTGCAATACTTCAGGTACACTTTAAATATCTTGCGTTTAAATACAGATATTATTCAAAGATCATACTCATCAATAGTGACATTAAAACACATTTTAGGCTTAATATTAAGAAATGTGCATTGTGCAGAAGTAGTACTCCAAATAAAGTTTAATTATAATTTTTATATCAGTAAGTCGTGAGCGACATGTTAGTAAATATGTTAATAGATTTGAACTATTCTAAGTATGAAATAAATGTATTTTAATTATATTAACTTTTTTTTACGAGGGTATGCCTTCAAAAATTCATGACGATATGTGGATCTTTTCAAAAAGAGCATTATTCTATATATATATTATTATCATTATCATTAAATATTATTATACTTATAAGTCACTATACTGTATGTATTTTTATTTAACAGCTTTGCTAACATGAGCGACAGCAGACTTACTGATGGGAGCACTAGCACACAACAAACTGCATGTGCCTACTGACAAGCTGATTTGCAATATGGGAAAGACTGCAAACTATAGAAGCCTTAAAGTTTTTTGACTGTTTCAGCATCAGGGTATTTACTGATCTGCAGCCTATGGTTTTGGTTACATGGTCCAGAAGTGTAGACTGAGATGTTGCGGCTCCAGATGATGGATCACAGCTCCAGCTCCACTGTTAGGGGCTCTGAACCCGGGCAGAGGGTCTGGCGTGGAGAGAATGTAGTCAATGCTGAATTTGATCTCAGGCTCAGGTTTGTTTTGGGCCGGTCTGTGACTAGTGTTCACAGGGCAGAAAGAATCTGAATCCGTGGGTCTTACTGCAATGCCCTGATGAGTGTCCATGGCAACAAAGGGTTCGGCTGGCTCCTTCAGGCCCATTTTTAAGTTGCGTCTGCGGCGGCGGCGACGAAAGTTGCCATTTTCAAAGAGGTCCAGCATGGACTCACAGCCTGTGGCGAATGTCCAGTAATTACCTTTTCCTTTCTCGTTACCTTCCGTACGGGGCACCTGAGGAAAACAAATAATCAGCAGGCAGTTACAACAAACCCCTAAAGTTAGGAAAACCATTAGTAATAATGCCTTTACCTTACTAATTATAACTATGGGTTTTCTTTAGTATTTCTTAAACAACTGAGTACAGATTTCAGAACTTGCTATGATGCACAGCGTAACAAAACAATCTGGTTGTTTATATATTGGAAATTGTTCATTCATTCGTTTCTTTTTTTATCTTGGTACTTGACGTTTACGTTTTAACATACACATCCAGTCTCCATCGTACCTTTATAAAGCAGCTGTTTAGAGAGAGGTTATGACGAATTGAGTTTTGCCAAGCCCTCTGGTTGGTTCTGTAATAAGGAAAGCTCTTCATGATGAACTCGTAGATTCCTGATAGGGTAACTTTGTTCTCTGGGCTCTGCTGTATAGCCATCGCTATTAGTGCAATGTAACTGATAGAGAGAGACAGAAAACGGATGTCAGAGAAAGAGTAAGAAAAAGATTTGTCCCTCCCTTCAAAGCGGTCTGTATCCCTTAATTTAGGGTTTACAAGCTTATTTGTAATCATTCATACACATGCAGAAATAATGAATAGAATATTACAAATATGATATACTTTAAATGTAAAAATATACTTTAAATATATAATTAATATACTTTAAATGAAACTCTATTAATAATATTGTAAGAGACTCCATATTGCAAGTGTGCTCTGATCAAGCCAACAGCAGACAAGTTACTATAATTATAATTATTAATACATATTGCTGTAATTATATATATATATATATATATATATATATATATATA